GCTGTACATCGCTCGAAAATGGTACAATTAGCCGATTTGTTTTCGGTACCGGAAATATGTCTATTGTGTAACGTCACGGAATATTTTCTACAGAATCACATTGATTATCATCCAGAGATACTGTTCAGAGACGTTAAGGTGAGCAATCAAAATGTAAGCTTGCTAATTGCTATCGTAATGAATTTTATATAATATTTATAGAACTCTGTGCAAAGTTGTCATCCTATAATGCACCGATTAGTAGTGGAAAATGTATCTGAATACTTGGAACAGAATAAAGATTTAAGGAGATTTTTCGATCGACTTCGAAATGCCGGCAAAAAAACGTTTCTGGTCACAAACAGTCCTTTTCATTTCGTGTATGTTTCTCAAGTATTAGCAATCTTAAATTAAACAAAATCTATTATATATATAATAATTATTATATAATAATTGACATGACTTTTACAGTAACAACGGAATGCAATTTTTGGTTGGCGAAAATTGGAAGAATTACTTCGACGTAGTAATTGTTCAAGCGAGAAAACCAAAATTTTTCACTGAAGAAACGCGCCCCTTGAGAATCTATGACGAAGTTAAACAGACGCAACTATGGGATAGAGTCACTAAACTCAACAAGGGTATCATATATCTTGAGGTAATTCTCTATTTTGATGTTAAAAAATTATATATTTATGATTATATAATATACTAAGTAATACTGTATTAATCATGAAAACACTTAGGGAACAGTTAAACAGTTGCAAGATATGACCGGATGGCGAGGACATCAAGTATTGTATTTTGGTGATCACCCATACAGCGATCTGGCGGACGTGACTTTAGAACATGGCTGGCGAACGGGGGCAATTATAAAAGAATTGACGGTAATTAAACAATATTTTTATTAATCTTTTTTGAAACTAATATGTTTTCAAAAGAATATTGATACGCTGAATTTAGTAGATGTGACCATATGTATAATACATAAATTGCATTACAGCACGAAATCGAAACCTTGAATGATCCAAAATTCAAAGAAAATGCGAACTGGCTCCAAATGTTAACCGGTTTAATTGAGGAACATCAAGATTATGAAGGACCTAAAGTACAAAATGAACTGGACGAATGGATGAGAGAACGGGATCAATTAAGAAATGAAATTAAATCTGTTTTCAACGAACAATTCGGCTCAGTGTTTAGAACATATCATAATCCGACTTATTTTTCTAGAAGACTGTTTAGATTCGCTGATATCTATATGAGCTCGATTACAAACCTATTAGAATACTCCACAAGTCATACGTTTTATCCTAGGAGAGGTGTAATGCCTCACGAGTATACTAGTTATTTCGTATAAAATGTCTATGTTTTTAGAAATATTTATTGTTCTTATGTAAACGCTTTTAGGGCGTACAATATTTTATAGAGAATAGTATTTTCGATGAGAAAAGTATGTATTCGACATCATAATATAAAGCCTTCGTAACAGAGAATTTCCGTTCGCAATACTTCCGCCTTATTATTAGATATGCATGCATAATTCACATGTATATGCAATGTGAATCTATATCGATCACCATTAATGCGCTTTTACAGCCGCGTAGTTACAGGTAATCTGCATCGAAATGTAATGTATGTAAACGTGATAAAACGAACGGGCGTAGAGATTACGAAGGCTGTTACGTTATTATTATTATTATTATCATGACAATAGCTGTATTATGTAAAATGAAGTTGTAAGGAGTAAATGTACAGAATAGGAAAAGTTAAGCGATTATACACAAAGTATTATTGAGCTACTTATAACATATTTTAAGATTTAATAATTAAAGTTTATTTTTCGTAAATGATATAAGGAAAAGAGATAATGTGCTTTTGCGTAATTAGAAAGAGATAACTTTTGAAGAGTATATTATAAGATCATGTTAATATTCAATTATTTTTGCAAAGAGATTGTATATTTACTGTTAGCGTATATAAATAAATTATAAATTTAAAATTTAACTTGTAATATATTTATGAATATGCTGTATATCTTCATGAACAAATACAATGTATTGCATGTAATTCGATATTCAACCGAAATTTATAAATTAAAACTCACAATTGAATTGGCATTATTAGCTTTCTACTAAATTCTTTATTTAATCTTATTCTTCCTACAAGAAAGTATGCATTAAAAATTAAACAAACATTTGTTTGGTTAAAGTTTAAACACATCTATTTAAAATGAAAATTTATTTTCTTTACAAATTTAATTATATTTTGTATAGAATGACTTGAACAATCACAGATATTTTTAGCATATTCAAAAATCATTAAGATAACTGTGTTCAAAAATATTTAAATATTTATGAAAAATATTAAAATATATTTACTGTATGTAGACGAAATATATTACTGTTGCTAAATATTCTTTATTTTCAATACAAATGATGTTTCTACGTAAACATCAAGAACAAAAATATTTTTCCATCTCTATTACGAATATATTTATTGATTCTGTTTTGTTTCTGAATTGCCAATACACTTTCAAATTTTCACGAACTTGACACATCAAAAAAATTAGCAATATGACTTGGGAAGAGATTAAACCAAAGATTTCAGTACCAATATTTTGTATACTCACGCTTTGCACATTTTTAGCAGATATTCTAATTGACAAGAAAAAATAAGGAATAGAAAATAATAATAAGGTTTGTATAAATATGATTGAATTTCTAACAGCAATTATTTCTGATATAAACAAAACATATATCTTGATTTCATACTACCATAATTTGTAGGAAAATAACTATTCATAGTCTATATATTCATCTATATAATTCTAAACAGATATAAGTAATATCAACTTATTCTAATATTTACACGCATTTCTAGAAATATAATTTAATTATATTAATTAATTCTCTTTCTCAAGTTTTTATTTGTCTTCGCGTTTTATATAAAATGGTATAATATTATGTACGTTTGCCATCCCGATATGATGATAAATGAACTGGAAATAACTCAAAGATAAACAAACATTTCAAAAAGAAATTGCTCTAAATAGATTATCATCGATAACTTTTCAACAAGCTCGTAGAAACATAATGTATTGATGATGAGTCAACAAACGAACACACCATAGAGAAAATGCTGAAAAAGCCCACTGACATGTTCATCCAAAATTTAAACGAAATCTCTAAGATAGATGTTAAGGATAAAAAAGTAAGTAACATTATCGTGATACACGAATTAATTTGTTAAAATTAATTTAAATTATATGTATAT